TCGTGATTGATTTCTTAGCTCAGCAATCAATGAACGCAAAGTTGCACATTTTCGTATTAAAAATCTCCAAAATGAAATATTAAAAGTTGTTCCTTATTTAAGTTTGTAAACAGATCTCCGAATTTAAAATTTGTTTAAACTTGTCAGACATATTTACTATATTGAATTTAAAATTTTAATTTTTAAATCTTGTATTATGTGCTTATAAATTTAAAAAAAAAAAATGGCTGGTTCTAAAATTTTGAATGCACAATTGTACTTAAATAGGCTTAGTTTTGAATTTGTTATTAACCAGATTAGAGCTATTTGAAATCATGAAAAATATGGAATTAACCAATTACTAAAGACAAATCTTTAAAGGAGGAATTTTTGTATACAATCTCTAAAATTTGCTTCTAGTAACTAAACTGTGTATGGGAAAAACTTGTTTTACTAAAAAAAAATCAGGAGTATTATACAATAAAATGAATAAGACATAACTAAAAAATTTGTATTTAATAAAACTGATAGTTATAAAAATATTCAAAAATCATTTATTCAATTTACTGCATAAAATCAAAAGACATGAGCATTTGAAATAACAAATTTATATCTATAGGAAAGAAAACTTGCTACACGAGTTTAATACACACAGAAATTAAAAATGTATATATCTGCGACGTGAATATTAACTTTTATTGCAAAAATGTAAAATCGTGTTTATTGCTGCACAAATTATATCCGCAATTCTCAATTTCAAAGCAAAGATTAAATTTACAAAAAAAAGTTTACTATCTGGAATTGAACACAAGATGAAATTCCCGGGAAATTTCCGCACATGTTTTCTTCCATTCAGGAAAAATTACTTCGATAAAAATTCTATACTGATAATCGGAAAGTTTCCCAAAAAAATCATCCCTGGTTCAATAGAATAAAAACAATAATAAAAAGGCCGCGTAATGGCTCAAATTTCAATCCAGGGTCCATCATACCCATAATCAATAAAGTATCTTTTTCTTATCATTTATTTTAATATTCATTCAATTCAGTAAGAATCGTTATGTTTCGAGTAATTGTTTTGAATGGTTTTGAATCGCTGAGGAGTTGTGTGAATTAAAGAACTTTCAGAAATTATTTATTAAAATAGTTTTGCTTCAGTTGTTTTTATATAACGAAGTGTATCTTTTGATCACCCAAAAGTAATTGTATCCTTTTAAAATTATATTTTCTGTAATTTTGTTTCAATAGTTTTAAGTGATGAAATCGTTTTTTTATTTTTTTACAAACCTTCAATCATGTATAAAAGTGTCTACAAGCAATAATTTGCTTTTAATAATTGCATGGGAATAATTAAACTGACTCATTATTCATGAAAAAAAGACATTTTCAGATATTTTTCCAAATTACTAATTGATTATTTTCAATCTGGCATTGTCACACTTAGCTGGGAAAATTTTGCTGATTAGAGGCTTTGATTGAAAATAAATGCATCACTTTAAACAACATATTAAGAGAAGGGTTCTTAATTTCTATCATATGATCCCTGATCTAAAAAATTCGATTACCTGCAAAATAACAATCTTGTTATGTCTAATTTATTAAGAAAAGAGATCTCTTGAATTAAAGGTTCCCTAAAGCGAAGGTTTCGTCTACCGCCAACGAAAGGAGGGAAGTGTTTTAAACAACATATTAAGAGAAAGGCTCTTAATTTCTATCATATGATTCCTGATCTAAAAAATTCGATTACCTGCAAAAAACAATCTTGTTGTGTCTAATTTATTAAGAAAAGAGATCTCTTGAATTAAAGGTTCCCTCCAAACTAGTTTGAATTAGTTCCCATAAAATTAGAAAATGTATATTTTGCACCTAATATGCGTAGAAATTTAATAAGCGGTTCGAATATGGATTTAGGAGGGATTACGGTAAAATGGGGTAACAGCAAAATGACTATATTTGGTAAAAACCATAATTATTTATTTACTGTACCTAGAATTGATAAATTGTATATACTTAAAGGCTATGTTGAAAAAGTGGTATTATTTACTGTACCTAGAATTGATAAATTGTATATACTTAAAGGCTATGTTGAAAAAGTGGTACAAACTAAAGAATTAGCATTTAGTACAGGTCTAGATAGGAAATTGGTTCATAGACGATTTTGCCACTTAAATATCACAATGCTAAATCATATGAGTCAAAACAATGTTGCGAATGGTTTAGATAATTTGTGTGGTAAATTTGATGCTTGTAATACTTGTAAAATAACTAAATCGACTAGAACTAATTTTAAAGTCAATCATGGTATAATGACTAAAACTGTATTAGAGAAAGTACATATGGATGTTTGGGGTAAAAGTCCAGTAAATTCAGTTGGCGGAGCTGAATATTTCGTATGTGTAATAGATGATTTTTCTCGTTATGTTGAAATTTTTACTATAAATCATGAACATGAAGTTTTTAATTGCTTTAAACTGCATTTAGCAAAATATGAAAGACAGTTAAATGTTAAACTTAAATCTGTAAGATGTGATAATGGCATGGAATTTTGTAATGAAAAATTTCAAGATTTTTTTAGTGAATTAGGTATACGTATGGAGAGAACTTCAGTATACACTCCAGAACAAAATGGGGTAGCCGAATCATATAACAGAGTAGTTGCAGAGGGAATACGCTCAATGTTAGCCGATAGTGGTTTAAAAGGTAGATTTTGGGCAGAAGCACTGCATTGTTTTGTTCACGTGAAGAATCGTAGTGAATACAAACTACTGGAGGTAAAACACCGTTTGAAATTTTCTATGGTTATAAACCGTCAGTTAAACATTTCAAAGTATTTGGATCTTTAGCGTATGCTCATATCCCTAAAGTTCAGAGAAACAAACTACAACCAAATGCAAAAGTAGGAATTGTAACTGGATATGCAGTCAATACTAAAGGTTATAGAATTTACTAGCCTAAAGATAGGAAAACTATAGAAACTATACACGTAAAAACTGATGAAGGCAAAAACGGAGTTGAAACACTATATGGTAAACCTAGTAATGAAAACTTTTTATTCATAAATCTGAATTCAGATATCAATTTTGAGGATAATAATGAAAATGAGATAAGGTTCATGCTAAATCTCCTGATTTAAAATTAAAACCTTCAAAAATAACAGAATGGACTAGAGTTGAGAGACCGCGTAATAAAAGTAGCAGAATAGATGTTTACTATTACCCTCCAGGCGATAAAACTAGATTGAGATCAAACAACCAAGCTAAAGAATATTGCGATAAAAACCAAATTGAGTATGATCATTCTAAATTTAATTTTAAAGCTTTAAGCAAAACTCAAAATTTAACTTCTTCCCATAGTGACACTGATAGCGAAAGTGAAGATTCACCATCTAATTCTGTTGTAGATAATCAGATAAGTGATATATTTGAAAGTGAGGTATATAATGAAGAAATACCGAAAAACTTTTCTGATGCACAAAAACTACCAGAAAGAAATCGGTGGAATAAGGCAATGGAAAAAGAGTTAAATATTATGAACGAAAAAAAGGTATGGGAAATAGTTGATAAACCTCCCAATGCTAAAGTAATAGGAAATAGGTGGGTTTATGCAGTAAAAAGAGATGAAAACAATAATGTTAAACAATACAAAGCTAGACTTGTAGCACAAGGTTTTAGACAACAGCATGGTATAGACTTTCTGGATGTATTTTCACCAGTTGTGAATTCTTCTGTTATTAGATTACTATTTATTATTCTTGTATCTATGTTATGTTGGAAATATGCACAGCTAGATGTGAAAGCTGCATATTTGTATGTAAATTTTAGTGAGGTAATTTTTATGAAACAACCTCCAGGTTTTGAAATTGTAGATGAAACGAATAAAGTATGTTTACTTAAAAAGTCGATATATGGACTTAAACAATCAGGTAGAGAATGGAATGCTGAGTTAGAAACTATATTAAAATCGATTGGTTTCGAAAAATTCAAATGTTGTAATTGTGTGTATAAAATGAATAACATTATTTTATTAGTATACGTTGATGACATGATGTTATTTTGTAAGACTAAAACTATTTTAGATGAAACTATTAAATTGATTAACAGTAAACTTGATATTCAACATTTAGGAAAAGTCAAATATTTGTTAGGTATTAACTTTGAGAACAAAAACGGAAATTTGTATTTACATCAAAAAACTTATATTGAAAAATTATGTAAACGATTTAATGAATTACCTAAAACTCATGTTAGGTTACCAATTAAAGTAGGTTTTAAATTGCCAAATAAAGTAAATGAAATTGCTGAAAATAAAATAACGAAGAAATTTCCTTATTGTACATTGATAGGATGCTTATCTTTTATAGCAAATCGTAGCAGACCAGATATTTCATATGCTGTTAACGTTATGTCACAATTCTCAAATTGCTATAATTAACAATTTACCAACATTGGACTGTAGTTGTAGATTTAATGAATTATGTAATAAATACTAAAGATCATAAACTTTGCTTATCAAATCCTAATAATTCTTCTTTAATAGCTTATTCAGACGCAAATTGGGGTTGTCATTTAACAAACAGATTTTCTACATCAGGTTATTTTAATATGCTTAGCAGGTATTCCTTTTAGTTGGAAATGTAGCAAACAAAAATATATTGCATTAAGTAGCATGGAATCAGAATTTATAGCTTTAACAGATACGGTAAAAGAACTTTTATGGTTTACAAACATATGCAATGAGTTAAGCATAATATCAAAAATTGAAAAGCATGTTTTGTATTGTGATAATCAATCTGCAATTTACTATTGTAAAAATAATGTTGAAAATTTAAAGACGAAGCATATTGATATTAGATTTCATTTTGTGAGAAATTTGTTTAATGAGGGAAAATTCGAAATTAAGCATATTAAAAGTAAAAGTAATTTGGCTGATTTTTTGACTAAAGCTTTAACTAAGACTGAATTAAATAAAATTAAAGGAATTTATTTTGAAATGCTCGATGGGGCCGAATGTCAGACTATGAATTTCAATAAACAAGGTTCGAGTAAGAATTAAAGATCACGAGTTCGAAAAACCTCTGAAAGAGGGAGTTCGAACATTTAAAAATAATTTAACGACAGAATTTGCATTGTATTAATTTTGAGTGTGTAAGTACCCTCATTATGCAACTGTTATTTTGTATATATATATAAGAAATCAAGATTGGATTTGGAGTTTTGTTTCTTTTGATTTTCATGACTGTATGTATTGAATTCGTTACCTCATGTTGTGGAGAGGATTGTTCTTCTTTTATGATGTTCAGTTATGATTTTTCTTGCTTAATAAAATTTCTCATTAGTTCAAAGATGACGTTTCCACTATGCCTGCTGAGTATTTTCCACAACTCTGCCAGCACCAAAGCATCGCGCATCCCAATAAATCTTGGAGCATCACTAACCCCAATGGATCCCAAAGCATCGCGTATCCGAATGAATCTTGGAGCATCACTGGCATCACATTTAATCTACATTTGAAAATTATTATCGAGATATTTATCAAACCAGATTTAATTAAAAATACTTTTAATGAGTGGGAACTATCCATTGTAGTCAGTAAACAGATAGCATTTCAATTCTATTCTAGTATTTGGCCAGCGATATTTATAAATGTGCGAGCGAAAAAAATATTATTATTAAATGTTTAGATGATTAATAAGTTTAAATTGATTGTAACTATTACCGGTCATCAATAATTGAAATTGTAGGCGGATATTTGATCATTAATATGATTTTGTAAGTAGAAAATGTTTTAGGCCTTATTAGGAAATGCCAACGTAGTGCTGCTATATTTAAAGTTATTTATTTCGGGACTTGTTTTAATAGATGTTGCTAATTATCATTTTGCCCATGGTAATAATATTATGCTGGATAATTTAAAGTTTATAATTATTAAGGTTGATATTTAAATATGCAATTTTAAGGATTTTAGAAAATTAACATTTATTTAAAAATAGAATTATGATTTGCCCAGTTATCACGGATTTGCCCGAATTGGATTTGCGCATATTAAAAATATAAATTTGGTAAACAACGAAGTTTTAGTAAATTTATTAATAATAATAACATACAATTAACTCAATGATTTTATAAAGAACATTAGTTGGATATCCATTGTTGTTTTTGTTTTTTTATCAAAAAAGAGTTTGTCTATTAAAGAGTTTGTCTATTTGTCTTTCAGATAAATAACCATTACAACATATTCTTTTAATTCTATTTATTCTGTTAAGCATGGTATTTAAATAAATGTTTTTAGAAACATTAGAATTCCAAGTAATTAGTTTATTTATATTGAAATTGAAACCATTTCTTTTATCGCTTAAATCAACAAATACAGATATTTTCTTCTTTTTTAATAACTAAATCCAAAAAATTAAAATTAATATTGCCATCATGATAACGAAGCAAAATTAATTCCTTGGGGTAAATATTATTTAACAAAATTATATAATCTTGTAGGTTAAAGTAAATTATCAATAAATCTAAAAACAAATTTAATATTAAGAGTATAATTTAAAAAAAAATTAAGTTAAGAGAGTTGAAAAATTAGGTCTTTGTGGTATTTCATCAATTTGAATAAAGATATATTTTCCTTTATAAAGATAATTATTAAAAAGAAGAAATTAATTGGAATTTTCCAATAATTAAAATAGTAATCAAGACTATTTTTAAAATCAAAGTAATTACTCAAAAGAACATCTTTTAGTTTAGAAAGAGAAATGCTATTGAAGAGATCCTGGAAATCAAAAGTCGCAAAAGAATTATTTATATTTTGTTTAACAAATTCTAAAATCGGTTGATTATTAGAGATAATCCAAGAAAAACCTTCTTTAATAATATTAATAATTTTATTTAAGTAGTTAGAGAAAATGGTGCCAGGATCAGTTAGGTAAGTATTAGATCCATTTGTGATTCCTCTAAATTTTATAGAAATTTTATGAAATTTTGGTCTGATAATTAGGTAAGGAAATTGTATATCGCTAATTTTAATTTGAAACCTCTTATATAAAGAAGCTAATTTTTTTTAATGATATTATTATTTAATTTAATAAGCTTAACATTTCTACTACTTTTAACTGCTCATTTAAAAGTTCAACATAGAATTTTTTTTACAGTAGTTTGCATAATTATTGTTAGCTTTGTCTATGAAAGTAATTACAAAGTTTTTTTTGTAGTTTCTTAATTGATCGATCAATTTTAGAAAAAATTGTTGAATTGTTACTGTTATTTTAATTTTCCGTTATTTTAGTTTTTAAAGCAATAATAAACAGCCCATTTCCATTCTGTTAACATACCTAAAGATAAAGAGAATCTATTTGATATAGTTAAATAAAAATTATTGAGATCATTAAGAGAATATTTTACAATTTTATCAATTGATATATGGTAAATGGGTCTAAATGTTGTATNGAACACAAGGAGAAAAAAAAGAAAGAAAATTAAGAAAAACAATAAGTTTTATTTACTGCGCATAAGCTGCAATTTAATAGAACTCATAAAATAAGTTCAAAATATAGAGAAAACAAGGAAAAAATTACGGGCAATGAAAAAAGGGGAAAAGAAAAATAATACTAAGAAAATAACAAAAAAATCAATAATTCATTATTTTTATTATTATTTTTCTTTTTCCATTTTTTCATTGTTCGGTAAAATTTTTTTTAATGAACCAAGAAGTTAACTCTTTGGTATTTTAAACACCAAAGAAATGAAAAAAGAAATAACAGAAAAAAAAAATCCATAACAGCTATGATTCTTATAGCAACTTAAATTTTTTGCCTAAGATAAACTAAAACAATAAGAACAAAATAAACAATAATATTAATTGTTAGCCCTTATAGTACAATGCTCTTTTTCATCGATTCGATTCTAAAAATGGGACAAATTGTCTTTTATAATAAATTATTTGAATAAAAACTAATAGATGGCGCTCTAACAAAACAATAAGGAATGCTATGTGTTTTCAAAATGGTAGGATTGGAATGTTAGTCAAATAATTTTAGAGAAGTAAACATTAGTTATACTTAAAACGTGAGTTTATGTATTTTAATCTTTTAGAAGTACCATGGACAATAAAGGAATAGGATCCAGTCCATATGGACTTAATTCAAGAAACTAATTGAGTGATGCAAGAATTACATGTGTGTTTACGATCGTCTTCGAAGTTTTAAATGCATTCGTCTGCACTCCACGGACGCGGATGTAAGTTTTTGTTTTGCATTTAAAAAAAATGTTCGTTTTTAATTTCATTTGAATTTTAAGCGTGCACTTTATAAAATTTTATCTACTTGTAATTAATTGTAGAGAATAATTTATTTTAAGATAGATTATACAAGATCCTTTTTCTGTGTCATGCCTGAAAATTTTAATGCATTTTGTTGGGTAATGTTAAGCTTAGATCTAATTTTTAAGCAAAACACACCTAAGGAGGATAAATAACTATTTTAGTTATTCCCAAGGTTTGTAAACAAAGGTTGCTAGAAAACAACTGTTGCTGTGCATTTCGCCAATGTTCGCCAATAAGGCGCGATACTAAAATGTTATTTACCATTCCTTACTAGGAAACCTATTGTATGATTATTTGATTAAAATTTATTAGTTTAGATATTCAAATTTTTCATTTAAATGCATGATTAAATTCTAATTAAGATTCAAAACAATATGATAGAATTGTTGATTTGTTCGTTTGACATATATTAAATTAAAATTTAATATAACATTTATTTAGCCTATCTTATATGTACTTGACCCATTTTTTTAAAAAATCTTTATTAATTAATTAATTAATCTTAAGAAATTAATATGAGTGAAAGAAAGCACGCATGCATATTTTTAAGTAACAGTAAAAGTTCTTTCCTTTTTGTTTTCATGTGTAAATATAGTTTGAAATATTTACCAAAGTTTGAATAGTTAATGAGAATTGTCTGCATAATTTTTTTCTTCAAGTTAGTGTTACCCTTAATCTTATATAAATTTTATAAAATATATCAACAAATGATGTTTTGAGCTGAAAGCT